AATAATAAGAAAAATGAAGACATGGACCTGATTTATTCTCTTCCGTTCTCAAATCCTTACAGAGTTTTAATGGACCATGAACTTTTCTGGAACGTTCTCTTTTACACAGTAGGTCATTTCCCTAATCATTTTATAGAAATAATCCTGCCCCTTCAACATTTACTTGTTTTATGGCTAATATATAATGTTAAAACTAATATACAATATATATTAGTCTTAACACATATACACAAATTAAAATCTGATATTTAGTGCCAGAGTTAATTTTATGCTTTGAATATGGATTATCGTCCTTTTTGTCTTTTAAATTTTACTTAGAAATAATTGCAGAAAAGTTGCAAGAATAGAACAGTACAGAAAACATACATCTACCCTTTTCCCCAGATCACCTATTAATATTTATTCCGTTTGCTCTACCTACACTGTATTTTTTTCTAAGTGACTTGAGTGATGACCACACACTTCATGGTACGTTATTCCTAAATACTTCAGCATAGTTTAGGAACCTCTTGTGTAATTGGTTCGTGCTGTCAGTGTCAGCAGATTTAACCTTGATTGACTGCTCTGATGGAATTGAACATGGATGGTCTATTTCTAAAGGTGACTCACTAGCACATTTTCAAGGCTTAAAACAATGTAAGGTTGCTTTTTATATGACAATAAGAGAAGCAAAGTATTTGTAAAGGGCCCATGGTCAGCACAGTATGACACAGTGCAATGCTTTTAGTAAGCACCTAGATCTGAGTCCTTTCCTACTAATCCCAACTGATGTCTCAGTCCATGGTTTGGACAGCAGACTTGAATTTGGCTGCCCCATCAATGCACTAAACATGCCATCTTTAGTGGTTAGTTTTGTCAGTTTGACACAATGTAGAATCAATCATCTGTACACTAGGTCCCAATGTCAAATCCTGTAGATTAGATTGGCTGGCGGGCATTCCTGTTGCTTATGAGGAATTTTCTTTCTTTCTTTCTTTCTTTCTTTCTTTCTTTCTTTCTTTCTTCCTTCCTTCCTTCCTTCCTTCCTTCCTTTCTTCTTTCTTTCTTCTTCCTTCCTTCCTTCTTTCATTTTAATTTTGAAGAATTTCATATGTGAGTACTGTCTTTGCATTATTTCCATCCCTTCCCGTCCCCCACCAGCTCCTCTCGTGTCTGTCTCCCACTCCCTCTTGATTTCTTGTCCTGTTCATTGTTGTTACAGGTATGCACAAACGTTTATAAAGATAGATTGGTGGATAGACAGATGATCAATCGATGGATGATAGATAGATAATGCACTGAGTCCATTTTGTGGTCCTCCTGTGCACCTGTGCTTAGGGCTGCTCATTTGGGTTTAGATAACCTCTCAGAGAGCTAGTCTTGGGAGAAAACTGATTCCCGTCCCTCAACGTCCATTGATTGCCTGGAGCTCTTCATCTTGAAGTGGGACCCCATGACACTCCCCCATCGACCTTGGCATATCTGATTTGTCATTATGCAGCTCTTGTTAGACTTCTGTAGTGTGGGAATTTCACTGGTGCAACTTCCCCATCT